GTGTATTTTTGTGAGTGTGAGTGTGTGTGTATTTATGTGTGAGTGTGTGTTTAGATCTACATGTCAGTATTTGTGAGAATGAGTACAATAGCAGCTTCCTTAATGAATTTGATTTATGCTCGTTCGTCCTCAATTAATTATATGAGTTTATCCTAAAATCCGGTTAATAAAAAACGGGTTCCTGCTGAGCCCGACCGTGAATCCGTCACTAACGAGAGCCTCTTAGCTACAAGTCAAGCCTTCTGCTTCCCCTCACATAACTATAGAGAAAAGACGGGGGGAAGACGAGACGGGAGAAAGCGCACAGGGGGTTTGGGGGGAGGAAAGGGGGGGGGGGGTAGGAGAGATCAGCCGAGCGAGGGTTAAAAACACGAAGCTTGTAGCGAGTGACCCTGCCAGGTATGTGTCGGTACATATTTTTATATTACCTTGTCGTCTGTTGAAGGAAGGCAAGGCGCAGGCAGACGTGTGCCGAGTGGCTTCCCGCGAGAAGCCCATAGACCTTTTCGAAATGTTCCGGCTGTTTTCGCGTCTCTGACTAATTAAAGTCTCAATAGATTTCGACAGCTAAAAGGTACGTGGACGCTTGTCATTTATTTAGTTCTGTCATCGTTAAGAATAGAAAACGATGTCGTGTTTGGGTGTTATAATGTGTCGTCCAAATTTTTGTTACATAATGTCGCCTGTCGCTTGTGGTTTCCCGCCATTGACTATTATAGGCCTACAGTGTTATGTGGTTTGCGTTCTGTGAGTGACCCCTTCGAACATGTAAGGTTATCAATTAAATTAAGATGCCAGACCTCCAAACGTAATGTCCAACTCCGATAGAAGGACCAAGATTTGTGGGAGAACAACATTAGACATTTTCTAAATAATCCGAGTTGGTGGTTGGCGGGTGCTCTGGTGAGGTTTGCTTTTTCATTCCTACCAAACATCTATCGTCCTTATCTCTCCTTCTTTTTTTGTGCTTGTTACTCTCTTGTGACACATCTAATCCTCGGCACTTATATGACCTTATTGTGTTGCAAGTGCCGTAAAACACTTACTAAAACTAAAAAACAAAAATAATCCGATTTCAAGACTGTTCTGTTGGGGATTCGAACCAAGGTCATCTGCGTACTTCGTTGTTCAGCATTATTACCAAGCCAACTTTTGACGTTACACGATATGGTTAACCCAAACGCATGGCTATGTGAAAATGTTCAATATTGTCAGCCTTGCGTAATAGATTGCAGAATAAATCTAGATCTAGTGTTAGCGCTGCGCAGTTATTTCATTTTTTTCTTTTGTATTTTCCAAACGCTTAGGAGTTTTCGTATATCTATGTGCAATGTGCTAATCTCGTGTATATTTGCTTGATTTACCGTTGTGATTGCAATTTAAGTACAACTAAAAGCCATGACCAAAAAAACAAAAAGGGAAACAACAATACAAATGATGCCATCTCTCCTTTATATGATACTTGATCATAACAATGAGAGTACATAACAAGATGGGCCACTTCTCTCTTTGAGTCAATTAAAAAAGTGTCCTCAAAATTTGGTGGCGCCCTC